CACCACATGCAGGCAGCCAACTCTCCCTCATCACTGACCCCTAGCATTGGGAGTCAACTGAGAAAAATGGTTGCCATAAATGAGACCAGCTCCAGCCTTGTCTTGCGGGAAGACCCAGAGATCTACGAAGAAACAGACGGCAGGATATCGACACTGCTCGCGGAGTACAATCACCGTTGTAACGCAGGAGACGTCTCGAAGTACGACGGTGAAGTGTCCAAGGCCTTCAGAGAGTCTAGAATCGTGAGCGGCTACCTCACTGACGATAAGACACAGCAGATCGCGGTGAAACTGGAAGATGGTTTGACAGGTGTTGCGACCGTCGTCAGTCCCGGTGTCGGCACAGCTACTCCACAGCCAGCCCTCGCCGAACTATTCGCCTACTATGTAGACCGCCTGACCGGTATCAACAGGGTGCCAACAGTCGTGTACCGCACACTGCGTCTAGACACGCCAGGACTAACAAGCGTTGGAATTTTGGAAGATAACAAGACCAGCTTGAACCATTTCCGATTACAATCGCAGTCTCGTAACGAAAGTACAACAGGTACCAAACAGAAAGTATCGCCTAACTTAGGTTCACAGGTACTGAACGTCGTCTTGGTCGGAAACATGATAGACTTTCACAGTAAGGCTAATATCCATCATGAGGGTAATTTGAGAGGTTTCTTCCGCCATGAGTCAAGTTTCAAACACATGGAGAACTCCCGGCAGACCTTGCTGGATATGGCCGACATCTTCCTGTTAGACTTCCTGGTACATCGCCCTGACCGGAAACACTTCGGTGGGTCACACTACATAGAACGTTAATTAGAAGCTGCCAACAAAACGCATTACATTCTTTTCATCAAAAGCACTAAAAAAGGGGCCCACCATATTAAAATTAGAGTTGTTGAAACACTAACTGCACGTATACCTTGCACAAAACACCCGACTTCCCATGACCACAATAACAGAAGAATATAGCATTAAAAAAAATTGAATTTTCCACAGTAACACAACTGCACGTTTCTGATGAAGTGATGAAATCCAACTTTTTGGCTTCCGCAGGTAAGTCTGAACTCCGCCTGGTGTCGACAGGAGACGCCGAGGCCTGGTGGACTCACCCCAACATCTCCGTCTGTTCCGCCATCCTGAGATGCCCGCCCGTGCTGTACGAGACAGACTGGAGCCGCCGGCCGGACAGGTGCAACCGAACATGCGGGAAAGACGTCAACACCTACCTCAGCAACTGCCGCTTCAGGGAAAGCACCGTGCAGCGGATTAGAAGTGTACTGCAGGAGGGATCAACGCTGGGAGAGATGTTTCAGAGGGTGCTGAAGGAAGAGAAGGGTCTACCAAGTGTCATTAAAGAGGAAGCGAAGGGAATCATGGGCGGACTTGACGCCAGAGTGGAATACTTGATGAGTTATATCGACATGTGTGAAAATGAGTACAAAAGAGATGTTCTCCTGTAAGGAAAAATAGCTACTCAGGAGTCAGATGACGCGAAGACTTGAGTATGAAAACGTACCTGGTTTTTGTCACGATGGTAAAACGGGGGTCAAAGTCACAGTTCAAGAAGAAACGTGACCGTTGAGTTTGCTAACCTATAGTAGTCGTGAAAAACAAGACAGATATTTGTACGTTTCACATGTGAAAAGGTTACTCTAGTTACCTGATGTAAAACAACAGTCATATGAGGTAGACTTTCTGGCTCAGTGTGCAATCTTTAAGAGGAAGAGAAGCCAACGCCGTCACTAGTATGTGAAATGCGGCTGTTGTATGTCTTTATACAGCAAAATACGCATAGAGTAACATTTTAAAGATTACGTCGGACCAAAAGGGTTTAAAAACATTGGTCGGAAAAAGAGTAGAAAGTATAACGTTTGACATAAAGACTTTCGTCTGAAAAAATTGGACGAAAATTGATTCACTGTACAGGAAAAGTCAACGACATGAAATATGTGTTCCTTAGTATCCAACTACTGAACAGGATACCTTGCACTATAATTCATGTGAACATGTATTAAAATGCGAATTTAAAAGAACGAAGGATGTTACATCGTCATATATTAAACAAAATAATGCTTTCATATTCTATAATGGAAGGCATGATTTATAAAGTAATCTAAATCTACTTGATATTAGAGACTTTGTACAGCACGGGGTTTCTTACACACTGTGTTGGGTTTCATTGAAATATAAGCTCCGTCCTGGCCCATACACACATGAACTGTATGTTGTTGTTGTATGTTGGGAGGGAAGCTATCGTTTATGAGATAAAGTAGACATCTGTGATCCTAATATTTATATATTTCCTATGGGAAATGTCTGGCTTTAAGATGTGTAAAGGGCTCCATTCATGATGTTTCTATGCAGTCGTGCTATGTCATTTATAAAACTTATTGTAGGCTGATAGTATATCAGATTATATGCACAGATAAGAGATCCACCACAATGGAAGAACCTGCGCACTATTCAAACAAGAAGTCGCATCTTCATAGTGAAACTTGCCAATAAAAGAGCTCAAAAAGCACGTCATTACACATGTCCCAAGTATTTTTTGAGAACAGTCAAAAAATCAATGCGCGCGCGGATGTCATCCATAAAATGAAGTCGGTGTGGCCTAACTGTGATATCTGCCCTACATTGCTGGACAGAGTGATGCCGGCTACCAGAAAAACCAGTTCTTCTGGTGTACGTACGCAGTCACTCTCTTCCCCAAGCGTCTCAGGAACCAGAAGGCCATTTCAGATCAAACAGGTGGAACTATTTGACGCTTTACTGTTACTGTGGTGTAAACAGTAATAGACTTGCGCCCAAAGACATCTGTAGTGACGGGGTATAAGGAAAATCAAGGATTGACGGAAACCTTTCCAGACAGCTGCCAAATATCTTGAGGGTTCTTGTGACAGACAGGTAAGTCCAATCATGACTTCTGTCTTCTTATTCTTACATGCAGCTTACACTGTCCTCTCATTACATTAGTATCTTGGGCCGGGTATACTGTGAACTATGATTTTTTAAATCTTCTTCCAGAGACATGCCTCGAATATCTACTGTGTTGAACCGGATGAAGTGTTGCATCCTGGGATCGTGCCTAACGTTACTGGCGTGCCACATCCTGTTTGTAGTGCTGAAGCGTCTCGTACTGAGCCACCCCGGCTCCAGCCTCAGGTTCATACGGGAGAGAGACGGGAGTGTCTCCGGGTGTAGAGCATCGGACACGTCTCACAGGTGATCTAACATCAAAAACCTAAACTTCTTGTGAAAATGACTTATTGTGCAATTTGTAAAACATTGAGGGCTCAGTAAGTCAGTTTGTGTTGTGTTTACACCCAACTGAAATAGAAATTACCTAGTAATAATTATGCATAAAGGTTTCACCATATTGTTTTTCTAGTCTGTGTAACGCAAACTCTGCTGTCCGCGGCTCTAGTTGGGCCCTTCCCGCTTTTCGGGGGGCGGCGGGATGTTGGGAGGCGGGCAACCGTAAAAGCGATTTAATCAGGCTAATATTGTTTTTCTATTTTTCATTCAAAATCTTCTAAGAGTTCAAAATGCAGCTTCTGGGTCTGGACTGACTACACATGTGGTTTAGAATTATGTTCAATGAAACCGATCTAAGTGATTTTGAGTTGTACCAAAGTTATTCTTACGATACACTTCTACTGGCTGTAATGTACTTATTGTGTGCTGTACAGCTTGGAAAACCTGGCGGAAACAAAATGGCTGCTTAAGAATATCCGGGACATCAAACCGGCGAGTATCAACACAGCCATTGAGGACCCGGATGTAAAACCTGTTGGTTGCGGTATTTTCTTCTCTGCAGACTTAGAGCAGGTAAGAAGATACTTATGAATTAGTTGTAAAAGAAGTGATAAGGAACGAATTCGAAACTTCATTGTCTTTGTGTTGGCACTAGAACCTTATTCTTCGCATGTTCGGACGCCTGAAGGTTACATGTCCACACCAAAATCTGTACCTCTCTCTGATACATAAAAATCTTTTTTTTCTAATGACATGCAGGTGACAAGGACTGGTGACTGTGTTACAACAAGAGTTTCAGTCAAGTCAGTCTTCAGCAACCTCTCTCACTACCTGGTTAGTTACATATACATGAATACAAGTTATGTGAAGAAAATTAAACTGTTCTCCAACTCAGATGGACTTTCATGCTAGTATGAAATTATATATATCATAGTATGTCAGTGGGCATCATCTATAAAGCAACTTGAAGAAAAAAACAATTTGAAGAAAAAACAACACTGTAATGACAGGGCATTTTGTTTTCTACAATATCTAAATCTGCGTACCTATGGCCTGTTACACACTGTCAGGGAGAGAGCCACCTGAGGGAGATCAAGACCCACTACCTGGACCGTGTGCTCGGTACCGGCCTGACCGTCCCATCGTCCCTCGTCCTGCTGCCCTTCTCCGCGCTAGACAACGAACACGCCGCGGTCGTCAGGCAAGCTGTGGACTGCAACATCAGCGACAAGACAGTCTTTCAGACAGGAGTGACTGCCTACGTGGCGAGATGGGTACCAAACCTGGGCCCCTTCCCCAAGCTCACACCCAGCTTGGCCGACAGAATGCATCCTGACAACTTCTTCGCTTACGTGACGTTTCTGTACATCGCCAACTGTATGAAGTCTGGCTCCTATGCCACCTCAGACGACCGTTACTACGTAATGATTGATAATGACCGTTGCCTGTTGCCGGAGAGGGTTTTAGCCCTGGAAGTCCCGCTTCACCACAAGAAACGGCTTACGAGGATTGGCGATATCCTATTCCGTGATGGACACGTCTGTAGTACGCCGTCATATCTAATTCACCACATGCAGGCAGCCAACTCTCCCTCATCACTGACCCCTAGCATTGGGAGTCAACTGAGAAAAATGGTTGCCGTGAATGAGACCATCTCTAGCCTTGTCTTGCGGGAAGACCCAGAGATCTACGAAGAAACAGACGGCAGGGTGTTGACACTGCTCGCGGAGTACAATCACCGTTGTAACGCAGGAGACGTCTCGAAGTACGACGGTGAAGTGTCCAAGGCCTTCAGAGAGTCTAGAATCGTGAGCGGCTACCTCACTGACGATAAGACACAGCAGATCGCGGTGAAACTGGAAGATGGTTTGACAGGTGTTGCGACCGTCGTCCGTCCCGGTGTCGGCACAGCTACTCCACAGCCAGCCCTCGCCGAACTATTCGCCTACTATGTAGACCGCCTGACTGGTATCAACAGGATGCCAACAGTCGTGTACCGCACACTGCGTCTAGACACGCCAGGGCTAACAAGCGTTGGAATTTTGGAAGATAACAAGACCAGCTTGAACCATTTCCGATTACAATCGCAGTCTCGTAACGAAAGTACAACAGGTACCAAACAGAAACTATCGCCTAACTTAGGTTCACAGGTACTGAACGTCGTCTTGGTCGGAAACATGATAGACTTTCACAGTGAGGCTAATATCCATCATGAGGGTAATTTGAGAGGTTTCTTCCGCCATGAGTCAAGTTTCAAACACATGGAGAACTCCCGGCAGACCTTGCTGGATATGGCCGACATCTTCCTGTTAGACTTCCTGGTACATCGCCCTGACCGGAAACACTTCGGTGGGTCACACTTCAAAGAACGTTAATTAGAAGCTGCCAACGAAACGCATTGCATTCTTTTCATCAAAAGCACTTAAAAAAGGGGCCACCATATAAAAATGAGGGTTGTTGAAACACTAACTACACGTATACCTTGCACAAAACACCCGACTTTCCATGACCACAATAACAGAAGAATATAGCATCAAAAATTGAATTTTTCACAGTAACACAACTGCACGTTTGAGAAGAAAACTTATCCTTAATCATTTCTGATGTGGTGATGAAATCCAACTTTTTGGCTTCCGCAGGTAAGTCTGAACTCCGCCTGGTGTCGACAGGAGACGCTGAGGCCTGGTGGACTCACCCCAACATCTCCGTCTGTTCCGCCATCCTGAGATGCCCGCCCGTGCTGTACGGGACAGACTGGAGCCGCCGGCCGGACATGTGCAACCGAACATGCGGGAAGGGCGTCAACACCTACCTCAGCAACTGTCGCTTGAGGGAAAGCACCGTGCAGCGGATTAGAAGTGTACTGCAGGAGGGATCAACGCTGGGAGAGATGTTTCAGAGGGTGCTGAAGAAAGAGAAGGGTCTACCAAGTGTCATTAAAGAGGAAGCAAAGGGAATCATGGGCGGACTTGACGCCAGAGTGGAATACTTGATGAGTTATATCAACATGTGTGAAAAGGAGTACAAAAGAGATGTTCTCCTGTAAGGAAAAATAGCTACTCAGGAGTCAGATGACGCGAAGACTTGAGTATGAAAACGTACATGATTTTTGTCACGTTGGTAAAAACGGGGGTCACAGTTCAAGAAGAAACGTAACCGTTAAATTTGCTATCCTGTAGGAGTCGTGCAAAACAAGACAGATATCTGTACGTTTCACATATGAAAGGTTAGTTACCTGATGTGAAACAATAGATAGATGAGCTAGACGTGCTCAGCGTGCAATCTTTAACAGGAAGAGAAACATACGCCGTCACCAGTATGTGAAATGTTGTATGTCTTAATACAGCAAAATACGCATGGAGTAACTTTTTAAAGATTACGTCGGTTCAAGGAGACTTTGAATTCCTTTTCGGAAAAAGAGTAGAAAGTAGAAAGTTTGACATAAAAGAATTTCGTCTGAAAAAAAATTGGACGAAAATTGATTCACTGTATAGGAAAAGTCAGCAGCATGAAAATGATACCTTGAACAATAATTCATGTGAACAATTATTGAGTTGCGAAGTTAAAGGTATGAGCGACGTTACGTCGTCTATATCAAACAAAATAATGTTTTCATATTCAATGGAAACGATGATTTATAATATAATCTAAAATCTACTTGATTAGGAGCTCCGTCCTGACCCATACACAAATGTACTGCATGTTGTTGTTGTATGTTGGGAGGGAAACTATCGTTTATGAGATAAAGTAGACAGCTGTGATCCTGATATTTATATGTTTCCTCCGGGAAATGTCTGGCTTTAAGATGTGGACAATGTTCCATTCATGATGTTTCTATGCAGTCGTGCTATGCCATTTATAAAGCTTATTGTAGGCTGATAGTATATCAGATTATATGCACAGATAAGAGTTCCACCACAATGGAAGAACCTGTGCACTATTCAGACAAGGAGTTGGCATCTTCATAGTGAAACTTGCCAATAAAAGAGCTCAAAAAGCATGATCATTTTGGGCATGAAATAAATGTCTGAGTTAACGACAAGTGTTGCTGCTTGTTCCAGCTCCATTTTCGCTGAACATTGAAAGTGGTTTTATTATTACCTTCTAGGACCATAGCGGTCAATCAAGCTAACTATTAGGTAAACCGACGCATCATCCACCAACAAGACCCCGTGGTTATAATATTATCCAAGCTTGGGACATTCTGGCACTACGGGCCAAAGTAAATCATTGCTCTGTTCCTGTCGCCCTGCATTAAATCAGTGTTTAAAAGGTCCCAAACCAAACAGGTACGGGTACATTATTGATAAGGAACATATAACCTAGAATGTGAAATCATGTTCCGAATGCAACTGGGTATATACCTGATTACGTCGCAATTGTTAAGCACAGGTATTACCTTTAATAGGTAATTTGAAATTTGGGATCTTCCAGTTGGCAAGTCGAGCGACTTGTAATGACTGTAGATTGCAAATCGATGGCAATTCACAAGAGGGCGTTCCTAAAGTTATCAACTTAAACCTTCCACATCAGCCCCCGCCTCCCCCCTGTAGCTAAAGTTATTATACTAAGAGCACGGGAATGCGTTTCGCACCAGCGAGCTTCTACATTTTCTTATCATCAATTTTTACTCCCCGTGCGAGAGATTTGACAATTGACCACCCGCCTCAAATAATCTGCTCCAGTAAATTGCAATAAAAGGCCGTAAATTATTAAGTGGCGGGTATCTCTCGATAGCCGTAGATGTCACCACGTACTCATTCCGCTGTGCTATCTCCGGCCCAACATCGCAAACACAGCATCCCGCGAGAACACAACAGCGCAGAGATACCAAAGTAATTACCTGTTCCTGCCGTGATAGCTCATCAAATCAATTTGTACATATCCGTGATTAGATAATCCTTTCTAATGGCACAGAGGGAATCGGTCTGTATGCATGCAAATAGCTTGATGATAATATTTAACAAGCGGGAAGTTTAGGGACCAAGCTAGTTTTAGGAATTGAAATTGCTAACCCTTGACTGACTCTGTTTGCTGTACCGGACCCTGATTAAGTTTTTTGCCTGAGTGCGTCTAACCCAAACAAATTTAGAATAATGAAAAAAAAGCATCCTCTGTATTGAGACAAGCCTTTGACTACCATTAATGCATTAATGGCCTCTCTTGTCCATCAAAGATATATCTGGATTTCAGTCACACTCAGGAACCTTTTTTTCATAATTGACATCTCAAAAAGTTAATGTGAAAAGACATCACGAGAAAAATCATTCCTTCATCCTTTTATCAAAGGTGTAGTCCGACTTGCTCAGTGACACGTAACTGGCCATTATCCCGCGGACTGTCCGAAGCGTTATTACAATAGTGGAGGATATGGAATGTGATGGATTGGACAGAACAAACGGGGTTCCATCAGGACGTTTGTCACGTAGCTCACGTCAGGAAATGATCCAGGCTCACGTGGAATGCCATCTATTTACGTGAAGTTATAACGTCCGTTTCAAAATCACCGCAAATAGTCACGGACAACCTAGATTTTTCATCTGAAAAAAAAAAATATATATTTTCTCTTCCGAAGGTGAAGTTTGGAAAACAAATATTGGATATTAGAGTTCGTTTCAAAATCACCGTAAATAGTCACGGACAACCTAGATTTTTGCATCTGAAAAAAAGCTATATTTTTTCTTCCGATAGTGAACTTGTAACAAATGTTGGATATTTTTAGTCCTACCATGATGTGTTATCTGCGTTGAATTGTCACAGAACAGATGAATTGCCTGCAAAATTGTAAAATATCGTCTTTGGAGAATCTGACCACCAGGAATGAAAAAAATCTGGTGTACAGTTTCATGAGACTACGAGAGCAGCACTATATGATACACAGACTCACAGTACAAGTCAACATTAGTTCAGATGGTTATAAATCGACGAATTATGCATTACAAGCTATCTCATTCGCAGCTTATTATCTAAGGCTAATAACAATGACAAAGACGTGAAACCATTGGTATGTCATTATCTACATGGCTTTTTGCTGGCTTCATAATTATGTTTTAAAAAAGAGTTCAGTAAACCCTTTTGTGTTATATATTACAGTCGAACTCTCTTCCTGTCACGCTCACATGCTTACATGCCGCCACTTTGGTGATAACTATAGCGTAGACATCAGGTGGAACGTACATCACACTTAGTCATCGCGCACTTAGTAGTCATATACCCGCCTGAGCTACTATTTAGAGCATGTGTTAATGCCGTGACGGTCAAGGTTGTGTCTAGTTGACACTTGACATTAACGCGAAGTAAATCCTAGCACAACAGCAGCGGGTTTTACGGTCCAGCAATCTGTATGCAATGACTATTTTAACATCGTAAAATTGGATCGTCGAGAACAGACTAATCTAGTTTGGGCTCTCAATGAATACATGTAAGCACTTTTGCTGGTACAATGGTATTGGGAGCGAAATCTTTCATGTAGGGCTCTATGTGTTTTCCAAAGGGCATGACTTTCATCCCATGGCGGGGATAGGTCGGGGTCTGCATAATCTGGTTGTTCTAGCCACTTTACCGACCTTCCCCGCTGCCAGGAAATTCACTTCCGCGTATGAAACTGTCCCCCGGGCTCAGGCAATGAGTCGTTTCTGTGAGAGAAAAGTGCCATTACGAGAGAGCAGCCCGCCAAAAACGCCTACGTGTGTAGACCTCCGGCGTACGAGGGGAGCCTGTTCTCCATCATGTCATAACGGCGGTACGGACGTGACTTGAACCCGAGCCAAACGTTATCCGCGCGCGATCGGCGGGGAAGGAAGGGGACCGTGTTGGTACGATAATATCTGATTATGTGCAAATCCGGCTGGGAGGAAGAGAGCTCGTAGACTTAAGCTAACGTAGACAACATTAGGCCACTAGAAGAGAAATTGCACAACAGGAATTTGAATGGAAAGTTATGCTGCAAGAAAGAAAAGTTGGTATCGCCCGAAACAATAAAACTTCTGTTGAGTAGATACATCCGTCATATCAATCAATAGTCCGTGCTTATAAACCTGCATTTCTCCTCTGGTTTCTCAGTGTCACTTACAAAAGGTAGTGGATGCTACCTGAAACGTCTGACCGTTTCCAAAAGCATATCCAGTTGCTTGAGTAACTGCTTTTTGGCGGTTTTCTGTGGTGAATATTTGTGTTCAACAGACTGGCAGTGGTTACGGGCAAAGTGTTGATATCGACTTTGTGACCGGCTGACTCAACGTCTGGAACAGTCGCTGGGAGCAGATTCTATCGACTGTCGTGCGGCAGAAGCGCGGATGTCAACCCGGGGATGTTCGGGACATTCATCTGAACAGTTATGGTGTGAGGAGTAGCTGGGGTCTCTACATTATCCTGAAGCAATTATTAAGAAAAAACACTACTTAGATGGGCTTTTAAAAAACATCACAAACTTGTTTCAGTGTCGTGATCGCTTGCGGCAATGAGAGCTTAAGGACAAAAAATGGGTCTTCCGGAAAAGCAATATCTCGCAGCGGCGCTACGTGCCTGTGACAGTTAACATCATGCCTACCAGCTGCTTCAATAGTAGTTCAAATAACTGCTGCGCATGTGGGTAACAAGTAATACTGTACGAGCTACAGCAATTGTGACATGAGTGATACATACATACTTCCGAAAGGGTTTGTGATGATCATCATACGAAGCAATCTTCTCGGGTTCCCCGGAAGTAAATGAATGACTTACCCCCGGCGGGGAAATTGTCTGGACCGAGTAATAGCTCCGGTCCAGGTGTGACCAAAGGTCAACGACCCTTGCCCCCATAAAGCCGGAATGGGACTTGCATCATATCAGGTGGCGAGCGCCCTCCCGTGGCCTGTTTACAACTCAGGGGAGTCCGGAGATCTGGACCATTCTTTTCCGGGCTTGCGGTGTTTGGCGGGATAACGCGGAAGTAAGCTACACGGTCAATCACTCTACCTGCACAACTCTCCCAGGAACCATCGGCAGGAAGTAATACATGGTGCGGGGAGAGGTGGGAGGAAGTCTAGGGGGAAGGCTTTAACATCAGTCCAAGGAAGATAAGGAGGCTTCATTCGTGTGTGAGTACCCGGGGAGCGGGTAGGCAGTACGCGGCTGCGGGCAGGCGGTGGTCAAAGGATCATCGCGCAAATGAATTGCCGGTGGAAGCTAGACGAGTCGAGCCCATTTTCCAACCAAGTGAGCAAAGCTGTCTGTATGTAAAAGTAATGTTGTCGTGGGGGTGAACAGGGGTCGGTCTGTTCGCTCGGATCGTAAATGAGACCCGTTGAAATGTTGGCCGGAAACCAACGTAATACCAACCAATAATTCAGCACCACCAGGCGCCCGAGGTGGAACACACCGCCGCTGACGTGCCAAAAACGTTGGGGAGAAGCAAAAATGAGGCACGCTGTGGACTAAGTGAGATAACAAACAACTGAAACAGAAGGATCCTCATGATGGCCTGACCTTTGCGACAGACGTGACTCAGGTGGACGTCTTCGCGGCAATCAGACGAGAAACTGGCGCTGATTCCTCCACCAAGTCTCCCGGCATCAGGTGTTTGATGAGGCTGTTACAGAGGATTACTTTCATACCAACGACCTGTCTTTTTTTTCTCGGAACCGCGGTGGTTTCTTCGTAGCGAGCGAGGTAGAGCGGAGACGTTAGGGCTCTGAAGATCTGAGCTGAGACCGAAACAACAAGAGATGACAGTTCCAGCGAACCAGATGAACTCCTGCGCACTTCTTGCGATATTGCCGGCGTTTTCTACCATCTTCGCTCTGGGTAAGTAAGCCATATGTTTTTATAAACATTACCAAATGGCTTCCTGCATAGATACTTTAACCCTGATTTGCACAACAGTCGCATTCAATCAAACGATACATATTCCTTTACGTTTTTCTATTGTCATACAGTATAGTACATGTAAGTACGTCTACCGCTAATATAGCCACTTATGAATACAGCCAGCCAAACACATGAACAGATCATTACGTAAGATGAGTATTGTT